GGGGGGGGGGGAAGAGAGGCGAGTGAGAGTGCCTGCATCGTGCCGTCCTCACTCACGACCAACTTGCTTACCGGCAATGATGAAGTTTGCCGTGTAGAGGATGGACTCGACGATGATCACAAATACCCAGTAGTTCTTCATCCCCTCTGACAAACAAACCGATCAATCGATCGACATACGTACATACAAGGACATACAATACAGGGCGTCATTCATTCACTTATTCGTTCGTCTGTCTGCCTTTTGCCTCCTTCACTGACTTGACATATTGTAGTGTTTAAACCAGGAGAACCTCGCCCAGCCGTTGAAGGCGCCGGCGGGCAAGATGGAAAACAAGAGATACAACACACACTGCAGAGAAGGAACGGCCACGACCACGGGCAGTGAGGGAGGGGCGTCGGTCGGAGTGTCTTTGCTGTGGGTGGGCCGTGGCTGACTGACTGACCAGTATCCCCTGGCACCACATGAAGGTCCTGACGGCCGACGGGCTGGTCGCTGCCAACCCCTTGTACCCCTTGTAAAATGTGTACCTTCACACAAAGGGACACACACACACACGCATACACACACGCACTCATCCAGCCGTCCATTCGTCCATCTGTCGGTCGGTCGGTCGGTCTGTCGGTCTGTCTGTCTGTCTGTCTGTCTGTCGTTGGTGTCTTGTCTTGTTGAGCGCACCCGGCGGCCGTGGGGAAGAGGACAAGGTTGAGTATCGAATAGACCACCCACACGCCACTGCCGCCACCAGCCTGATGATGCAAGGAAGGCAAGAACGACACACAACCATGCACTCACTCCACACGGGGCACAATGCAATGCGATGTGCTGCCATGCCCTCCACGTGTGGCCTGGCCTGGCCTGCCTCCCTCCTCACCGCTATTATGATCGTGTTGAAGAAGTTCACGACACAGATCTGCAGACACAGCACACGACCCACCACAGCGACACACACACCCGCACCACAGACGCCATACATACGTCGTCTCTCATAATCCGCTTCGCTTCATGCCTGTTAGTACTGACTGAACTGACCACGACAGTGAGTATGAATGAGAAGTTGATGAGCCACACGATGGAGGCCACGTGGCTGGGCAGCTCGCTGAGGTCATAGTGGACAATGCGGAGGAAGGGGGGGTAGTTGTAGTTCTGCCAGTCGATGGTCGTGCTCGCGCTGCTCGGCTGGCTGCTGATGCCAAACGCCCTTGACGCTGACGAGAACTCATCCTGCACGCCCCGCATGGCGCTGCTCGCCGCAGTGCTGATGGCCTGCTTGGCAGCAAATGCCGCTGCCATCCTTGATATATGCTCAGCAAATGCTCTCAAGCACAACGATGCGGTCCCTTTCTCTTTGCGGCTTCTTCTTTTCAGGACAAGTAGACACGAGGCGAGTGCTGCTTGTCCCTGTTTCAGAGTTCAAAACTCTGTTCTCTCCTCTCTGCGAGATCAAAAATACTCTTTGCGCAGCTCGCCTTTCTTCCCCAGGAAGGAATGGATTGAAATTGATAATGTAAGGGCCACAGGAGGCTGTTGCTGTCATCCATTCCCTCATCTACTCCTCTCTTGTGTGCAATTGCATTCTTCTGCAGATCTATCCCGTGGCGCGTAGCTTGATGACGGCCAATCGCCTTGCAGCCCTTCCATAGATAGCTCTCCTAGCTGCCGTCCCATCCATCGCACTGCACTGACGATGCAGCGAGGGTGGGACAACGGCAACCGCCGGGTGCGGCCCGAGTACAGAGAGGACCGTGTCCGTGCGGAGGAGCGGTGGCTGGAGGACAAGCTGGGCGTCGAGGTGCTGCCCTGCTACGGCACCACCTCTCAGCGTGCCGCCCCGACCGTCCGCCGGGATGGCTGGCTGCTCAACGTCAAGGCCACCACAGTAGCGCAGAACATGGCGGACCGCAAGGGCGATGCGGCGGTGTGGCTGTTTGCCATCGACAAGGACGGCAAGGTCTTTCGCACCACGTTTCGGTACGCGCCCTACTTTTATGTGGAGGTGGCGCAGGAGGCGGGCGTGGTCCAGTGGGTGGTGGACTTCCTGGACAAGAAGTTCGGCAAGCATCTGGTGGGGATGGGTGAGGGGCCGCGGCCGGAGAAGGTGCTCAAGGAGGACCTGGCCATGGAGGACCACCTCAGGAAGGGCAACTCCAAGACATTCATCAAACTCACATTCCGTAACCATCCACCCGACGACGGACGGACGGACGGACGGACGATCCACACATAGGTCAACACGTTTGGTTTGACGTGTGTGCAGGTACGGTCGAGGATTTGCAGGAGGTGAAGCGTGAGATCAATGGCATCCTGAAGGCCAACGAGCGGAAGCAGAAGGGCAAGATCCCCACCACGTCGGCGGCCGACGAGTTCGCTAACCTGCTGGGCAGGCGGGCCGGCGGCTACGACGACACCACGGCCATCCGTGGGCTGTACGAGGCCGACGTCCTGTACGTCCAGCGGGTGTGCATCGACAACGACATCCGATGCGGCAAGTGGTACACCTTCGAGTGGAACCCCCCCAACAATCTCAAGGCAAGGCAACCACAAAAAACGACAACGCACACAGAGAGAGAGAGAGGGCGCCGATCGCATTGGCGTGGTGCTTTGTCTTGTGGCGTGGCGTGTTGAATGCATGCGTCAGTTGAGGTGTCTGGAGGGCAATGGTGTGGTGCACGTTCGTCCGGAGGTGCGGTGTTTGGCGTGGGATATCGAGACGACCAAGGAGAAGCTCAAGTTCCCCGACGCGACCTACGACGAGATCATGATGGTGTCGTACATGATGGACGGGGCGGGCTTCCTCATCGTCAACAGGGCCATCGTCAAGGCAGACATCGAAGACTTCGAGTACACCCCCAAACCCGAATTCCAGGGCAACTTCACGGTCCGTCCGTCCGTCGGTCTGTGTGTGGGGTGGTGGGGGTGGTGGTGGAAGGGATGGATGGATGGATGGATCTGTGTGTGGTTGTCTTGTGTGTGTCTTTCAGGTGTACAATGTCGAGAATGAGCGTGCGCTGCTGCGTCGGTTCTTCGACGACATCCGTGACCTCCAGCCGCTGGTCTTCGTCACATTCAACGGAGACTACTTCGACTTCCCCTTCGTGGCCAAACGAGCCGAGGTAGCTTACCTACACACACAACCACACAGCCACCGACTCTCTCGCACCGCATGTGTGTGAATGGAATGTGTGTGTCAGATTCACGGCATGAAGCTGTGGAGCGAGATAGGTGTGCGCGAGAGCAAGGAGGCAATGGACACGATCTTCTCGGGCCGCTTCTCGCTGCACATCGACTGCCTCTACTGGGTCAGAAGAGACTCGTACCTGCCGCAGGGATCGCAGGTGCGCCTCCCTCGCCACCCACCCAGCCAGGCGCACACAGAGACAGAGAGAGAGACACCGACACTGCCGACACTGCCGACACTGCCCGCCCCCCCCGTGTGTGTGTGTCTGTATTCTGTATCTGTCCTGCAGGGTTTGAAGGCGGTGACCCGTTCGAAGCTCAAGTACGACCCCGTAGAGCTTGACCCCGAGCTCATGCAGCCATATGCTGAGGAACGGTCAGCCACACACACACACACACACACTCGCGCACACATGGTTGTATGCGATGCGGACCAATCCCATCCCTGGTGTCTGTGTGTTGTCCAATACCTATCTGATCTGATCTGCCTACCATCCATCCATCCAATACCAGTCCACAGGATTTGGCCACCTATTCGGTGTCTGATGCGGTGGCGACCTACTACCTGTACAAGAAGTACATCCAGGACTTCATCTTCGCCCTCGGCACCATCATTCCCATGCACGGAGACGACGTCCTCAGAAAGGGATCGGGCACGCTCTGCGAACAGGTCGCCCTCCGATGACCGGATGGATGGCATGGCGGGGATTGTCTGTCTGTCTGTCTGTCTGTGTGTGTGTCTGTCTGTGTGTGTGTCTGTGTGCTGACCAGCTGCTGATGGCCGAGGCGTACCGTAAGAACATCGTGTTTCCCAACAAGCACAAGGAGAGCCCTCTGCAGTTCCACAACGGCCACCTCCTCGAGTCAACCACATACGTCGGTGGACGGGTCGAGTCGCTCCTCACCGGCATGTACGCACACACCACACACACACACACTGACGGGGTGGCGTGGCACCAACACACACTCGTCAGTCACGAGTGTGTGTGTGTGTGGTGGGTGTTGTGCTATCATTGCAGCTATCGCAGCGATCTGAAGGAGTCCTTCAACCTCAACCCCACGGCCCTCCAGCAACGCATCGACGAACTCGATAAGACATTAGGTGCGCACAGCACACCATACCGCTGCTAGTAGTGTCGGTCGGTGATGCATGTCATGTCTGCTGCCCTTGCTGTTCAGATTTCTATCTGCGTGTGGAGAACGACGTGAGTCAAGAGGACGTCGAGAACTTCGATGAGGTGCGGCAACAGATCCTGCAGGCGCTGACGGCACTCAGGTACGTGGGTACCTACCTGCACACACAATCAATGGATGGATGGATGGATAGCGGATGCACTCAATGGGTGGCCTGTGCTGTGTCTGTCGGCCAGGGATGAGCCCAAGCGTCAGGAGGAGCCGCTGATCTACCATCTAGACGTGGGCGCCATGTACCCCAACATCATCCTCACGAACCGACTGCAGGTACGACTGACTGCACACAAACACACATTGCCACTCCTTGCATGGCATGCAATGCAATGCAATGCAGCCGTCGTCGATCGTCACAGAGGACTTCTGCAACCGATGTTCCTTCTTCAGCGAAGGTAGGTGCGTGGGGTCGCACCGGGTCGGTCACACCGCATATATCAGAAACACCCCACATGTGTGTGTGTGCGTGTCATGTTGGTCCCTCCCTCAGCTGAGGTGTGTCAGCGTCACATGGAGTGGACCTGGAAGGGCGAGCTCTACATGGCCAGCAAAGCGGACTACAACAACATACGCGCACAGATCGAGTACGAGAAGTTCCCCCCCAAAGCAGCAGCCACCGGACCCACACCAGGAGGGTGGCGCAGGAAGCAACCTGCTGCCCCCACCAACGCTGCTGCTGGTGGTGGTGGTGGTGATGGCGACGGTGGTGGTGGCGGGAAGGGCGACGAGTCTGAGGATGAGGGTGGTGGTGGGGGGGGCGGTGTGAGGGGTCGCCGTGATAGGGACGACATGGACGTCGATGAGCAGGGGGGCGGGGGCAAGGACAATGCCGACAGGAGGGCATACAGAAGGTGGGTGAATATAGTGGATGCACTGCACAGATGAGGAAGAATCGGCAGATGAGGACACACTCTACATTTCTATCTACCTTTCTCTGCCTGCCTGTGGTGTGTGTTGTGTTGGTGTGTGTCAGGTGGCATGACCTGACTGAGCAAGAGCAGGCCGACGAGCTCATCAAGCGCATCCGGGCGTTCTCGCAGAAGGCCTACAAACGCCTCAAGAAATCAGAGGTACACGCAACACAACACATACAACCAAACCCACACGCAGCCCAGCCCACCTTCCTTGACGCACCTCGTTAATTGCCTCCCCCCCGTGTGTGTCCGCAGATTCAGTTGCGCACCAATATAGTGTGCCAGCGCGAGAACCCATTCTACGTCGACACCGTCAGGCATGGATCCCCCCCCCTCCCGACCCCACACACACACGGCACTCATCCACCCCAGCCGCCCGAATGATATATTGATATGCGTAATATATTTGTGTGGTCGATGTATGTCAGGGCGTTTCGCGACCGTCGTTATGAGTACAAGAAGGATCTCAAAAAGTGGCGCAAGAGGGGCGAGGAGGCCGAACAGCAACAGGACCTCGCCAAACTCGCACATGCAAAGGTGAGGGAGTGAGTGAGTGAGTGAGTGGGCGGGTGAGGTGAGATGACCAACAAACAAGGGGGACGGACGAAACACACATCTGCGTTAGTCAGTGCATGTGTGTGTGTGTGTGTTGGCTGCGTGTGGTGTGGTGTGGTGTGGGTGGCTAGGACATGGAGTTGCTGTACGACAGCCTGCAGCTGGCACACAAATGCATCCTCAACTCGTTCTACGGGTGGGCGGGTGCCTACATGCATCATGACATGCACTGCACTGCACGGTCTGAACACACGTGTGTGTATCTGTGTGTCTGTGTGTGTGTGTGTCTGTCTCTGTGTGTGTGTCTGTGTGTGTGTGTCTGTGCAGGTATGTGATGCGCAAGGGTGCCCGCTGGTACAGCATGCCCATGGCCGGCATCGTCACCAAAACAGGCGCTGACCTCATCAAAGAGGCCAGGTGGAGTGGATCGGATCACACCACACCCAGCCGACTGCTGTTTGGCTGCCTGGCCTGCATGTCAGGGTGCTGGTTGACGGCGTGGGCAAGCCGCTGGAGCTCGACACGGACGGCGTCTGGTGCATGCTGCCCAAGACTTTCCCAGGTAGGGTGCGCGGGCAGACAGAGACGGACACGGGCCGGCCACTCACTCCTTAACTTCGGTCGGCAGAGACCTTCTACTTGAAGCTTCGTGACGGACGGCAGCTGCGGATGCAGTACCCCTGTGTGGTGCTCAACCAGGACGTCAACCAGAGATACTCTAACAACCAATACCTGGTTCGGTTCGCCTGCCGCCACACCCCACACACATACATACGGGGCATCCCATGTCTGTGTGTCAGACGTACGTGCCCGAGAGGGACTCGTGGGAGCGTTCGACTGAGTGTTCGATCTTCTTCGAGATCGACGGCCCCTACCGCGCCATGGTCATCCCCGCATCGCAGGAAGAGGACAGACTGCTCAAGAAGAGGTCTGTCGGCACCCCACCCACACAATACAATACAATTACCCCACCACCTTAACAGACACACAGACATGGATGGACAGCTCTCACATCCCCTCTGTTCTGTGTGTGCTGTGTGGTGTGAGTCAGGTATGCAGTGTTCAACTTCGACGGCAGCCTAGCGGAGCTGAAGGGCTTCGAGATCAAGCGTCGTGGCGAGCTGAAGCTGATCAAGGTGTTCCAAGAGGAGGTCTTCCCGGCCTTCCTCGAGGGCACCACACGCGAGGAGGCCTACGCCGCCGTGGGGGCCGTCGCCAACCGGTGGCTGGACGTCCTCGACAGCAAGGGGCACACACTCACTGACGACGAGGTCATCGACCTCATCTCGGAGAGCAAGAGCATGTCCAAATCCGTCAAGGTGCAGGCAGGCAGGCAGGCGCACACAGATCAGATGGGGGGCTGGGAGGGAGATATGGGCGTGGGTTTGGTGTGTGTGTGTGTGTTATGTGATAGGAGGCGGGCAGCTACAAGTCTGTGAGCGTGACGACGGCGACGCGTCTGGCTGAGGTGCTGGGTGAGCAGCTGCTGTATGACAAGGGCGTCGTCTGCCACCTCATCCTCTCAGAGAAGCCCATCGGCGACCCCGTGTCGACACGAGCCATACCCGTACGAACGCAACGCCCACAGACACCTACCTGCATATGCTGCACACCCTCGAAGACTGGTGACTGCACTGCGTCACGTGCAGGTGACGATTTTCAATGCGGACGAGGTGACGCGCAACCACTACCTGCGCAAGTGGCTCAAGGACCCCCAACACGACAACTTCGACATACGAGGCGTCATCGACTGGAAGTACTACAAAACACGGTACGCTACGGTCAGCCACCACCCACGCCACGCCACGCCACGCCACGCCCTCCACACCACTCATCTCATCTCATCCAGCCACCTCTCCCTCTCCCCCCCTGCCATATGTCTATATGGCTGGCACGTGTGTCTGTCAGCTTGGGTGCGGCGGTGCTGAAGATCATCAGCATCCCGGCGGCCTTCCAGGCCATCGCCAACCCGGTCCCGCGAATCGTCCTGCCAGACTGGCTCAACAAACGGCTCAAGGCCAAGGCCGACGCACACAGACAGCGCAGGCTCACCGAGATGTTCAAGCAGGCCAACGCAGCCAACGCCGCCAACAAGCGCAAAGCCCCCCAGCCGCCAGACGGCAACGACGGCAACGCTCCTGACGACGACAGTGGCGCTGTGGTGATGATGGACATCGAGGACCTCACGACCCCACACCCGTCCGCTGCTGCTGCTGCTGCTCCGAAGAAGCCGGCCGCCCCCCAGCAGAGAGACATCCGCACGGACCGAGGGGTGGCGGTGGGTGCCCCAGCGCCACCAGGCCCACCACCCGCCCCACAAGCAGCGGAGCCGGCAGTGCTGTTCGCTGAGGACCCGAAGCGGTGGATGAAGCAGCAGAAGAAGAAATGGAAACAGCTCAGATCGGTAAGAAGAGACGGGACAACAAATCATCCGTCTGGCTGTATCCATGATCCATTCATTGACCGACCATGTGTGTGTCTGTTCGTTCAGGCGTTGAAGGCCAACATGGTGCGTCGGCGGCGTGGCGCCCGTCAGCAGAAGCGGCTGGACGAGGGGGAGGTGGGCATCGAGGCCTTCTTCGGCAGGCAGCGCGAGAACCTCCTCACATACGACTGGCAGGTGCTCAGTGTGCGGCAGGTCCCCAACGACATGGGCCTACTGCTCGTGTGGGTCACCATCGCAGAAACCAAGGAACTCTTCAAGTGAGACCATCCTCCCCGTCCCCCTCCCACCACCTCACACGGTTCTGTGTGCGCCAATGCTTGGCTGGCAGGATCTTCGTGCGCGTCAAGCGTCGGCTGGTGATCAACACGGCGAGCCCCCGGAAGGAGACGGCAGGCGACGAGGACGACGGCACGGGCGGGTCGTCTGGCATCCGGTGCAAGGGTGTGGTGTGCGAGCTGCCGCGGGGCGCCACGGCCGTCCACTGCTATGAGCTGGAGATGGACGAGAACGACTACCACAGCTATGGCCGGGAGGACGCGCAGTTCCTCAACGAAGAGGACATCATCGGCGTCTACGAGACGCAGGTGGGCCCTGCCGTCGGCTGTGGCTGGTGTTGGTGTTGGGGGAGGGGGAGGGGGAGGAGTGGGGAAGGAAGATGGGCGTGCGTCTGTTGGTGTGTGCAGATGCCTCAGTTGCTGTCGTTCGTGGTGCGGTATGGGTCGCTCCTCTCGCTCAGATCTAGCGAAAGCGCCAAACGTACCTGAGGGGGAGAGGGTTAAGTGAGGCAGACAGACGCACGCGACGCGCGATGGATGCACATTTCGTCCTTCCTCGCTGCTGTCCGTGTTGTGGTGGTGTGTGTCTGGGCACCCACTTGACTTACTACGCACTCACAGTGTCTCTGAAGACGAGCTACTTCGAGGAGCCCCAGCTGCAGCCCCACTTCAAGCCCGCACGCCAGTACCTCCCCAACATACCATGCTTCATCTTCGTCAAAATCGCATGCACACACAACTCCAAAATGTGAACACCAGCCACACCCCTGCACCGCACCCAACAGACCCCACATGGCCCATGTGTGTGGTGTGGTGTGCAGGTACTGTGCGAGTGTGTTCTGCACGGAGAGGAGAGAGGGGATGGTTATCTTCGGCGGCCCCCCGCCCCCCGACCGGCCCGACTTCGGCCGTGTGTTGGCGGCCAAGGACTTCTTCCGCCAGTACGGCCAGTGGAAGATCGACTCCCACTACACCAAAAACGCTGCCAATGCACACAAGGCCCTCGCCAAACACATCACAGACCTCTCCAAGAAGGGCCTGCCCTCGCCCTTCATGCTCCTGCAGACCACACTTGACGATGAATCGGTCGGTCGGGGGGGTGACTGACTGGGGATGGATGGATGGGTTACAGCGAATGTGTGTGTTTGTCTGTGTGTGTATGTGTGTGACAGTTGGGTGAGTTTTGGTCGTCGAGTTGTCCGTTGCCGTGGGCTCGGCTGCCCGATGGCTTCCCGCAGGATGACGACATTCCACCACTGCAGTGGACCATGTCAGCAAGCCACAGATAGATACACAGAGAGAGACACTCGCCCACGAACAGGCAAATCGTTTGTTTCTCCCGCCCCTCTCTCTCTGTCCGTTCATCAGTTGGGCGGCCCGTCGTTCAGCAGATCGTTGCATCGCGGCGATGGAGTTCGCCATTTGGCGGCTCAACGTGGCGAGGATGTGCAAGATCCCTATGGGGGCCATCATGGAAATGACCGACGCCGACCTGGGCATCAACGTCCTCGACATACTCTTCGCACGGGCACTCAAGGAACACAAAATGGTCAGCCAGCAACCAGACATACACAGACAGACAGACATACACAGAGACGATCCCTGGCATGCATCAGCTGGGTGTGTGTGTGGTGTGATGCGGTGTAGGTGTGGTGGTGTTCGTGGGGTTGTTTGCCCGAGGTGGGTTTGCCGCCCGACACGGCGACCTCGAGCGTGTTCGACCCGTCCGAGAAGCTCCCCTTCCAACCCACCAACTGCGCCGGCGCATACAGAGCCACCTGCGTCAAATTCAAGCTCGACAAGAAGGTAAGGTATGTAATGATTGTATTGTATTGTATTATCCCTCCCTCCCTCCATCCACCCTCACACACACACACATACAAACATACATACTCTTCATTTGAGCTCCCTGCCTGCCTGCAGTTGTGTGCGGCGGCGATTCGCGAGTGCCGTCAGCTGTCGGAGTTGTCAGGTGTGGACGAATTCTTCAGCGCCGCCCACACGTCGAGCGGCGCCCTCGACAGCAAGCCCCATCGCAAGGGCATCCACCCGACGGCCACGCAGGCCGCGATGGGCACACAGGGGAGCAGCTCATCGGGTGGTGGGAGTGATGGGCCCTCGTCGGGTGCCTTGCTGCTCAAGGCCAAACACCAGTTCCCGCCCTCGGTCGCCACACCCAGAGCCCTCTCCGTAGGCCATCCTCATGTGTGTTGTGTCGAGCTCATCCATGTGTGTGTGTGTGCCGGGGTGGAATACAGGCGTTGAAGTCAGTGGTGGATCTGATGATGGACCAGGGCCGCGTGTGGTCCGACGCGGCCAATTTCTTCCTGATGCAGCTGCACCGCTGGCTCAGCACACCCCAGTCGGCCTTCCACGACCCCGCACTGCAGAGAAAGGTCGCCGACTACGAGAGGAAGCTCTTCTCCCTCCTGCTGGGCCACATCCGGCGGGTCACGGACGTGTCGCTGGTGTACGGGGACTTGGACGAGCTGATACTGTGCACAGGCCGGATCGACCCGCAGGAGAGCGGCAAGGTGGTGGAGAGCCTCACCAACCAACTCGCACTCAAGAAAATGTTCAGGAGCCTCAACCTCTCGGTCGGTGGTGTGGTGGGTCAGGCGGGGCGCTGCAGCTGATGGGGTGTGTGTGTGTGTGTGTGTGTCAATATGTCCGTCGGTACGTCGGTGTGGTCAGGCTCCCGACGAGGCTTATGTGGCGCTGCTGTGGCTGGACCGGTCCAACTGGACGGGGATACTGGCAGACACCGATGACGACGGACGGGTGGGGTGGGATGGGCACAACACATCCACATGACATTCACCCAAAAACCGACCAATGAATGCATTTGAGGGGACGGCACGCGTGTATGTTGTGTCTCATTCAGATAGTGCTGCAGACATCTGCCATCAGTGAGTGGCAAATGGCCTGCTTCCTCCCAGACGCACTCAGCGGCGCATTCATCAAGTGAGTGAAGGAGTGAGTGAGTGAGCCACATGGACTGACCTGACGGGTGGGCGGGGCTGCGACCCTCCTCCACCCACACCACACCACAGGCACTGTGCCGAGTTCCTCTTCAAGTCCGTCGAGGAGACCACACGGATCTACAACAGGTAGGTCAACACACAACAGACAGACAGACAGGCAGGCACAGCCAAAGAACCAATTGGTGACGCTCATATGTCCGTCCATGTGTGTGTGCCACGTGTGGTGTGCAGCAAGATCGACCAGGGTGGCGACGCTGCGATGAGCAGTGGCGGCCGGGCGGGCAGCAGCAGCCTCAACGAGCAGCTGCGGGAGGCGCAGGCGGCCTTCATGAAGGAGATGATCGACGGTTGGCACGGCAGGCTCCTGCGCTTTGTGGGCGACATCGAGAAGAACCGGATTGACTGCATCCGACGCGCACAGGAGGCTCCTGACGACGGTAGGTACGTAGGGACACTCTGGCCATCCATCCATCCATCCATCCACACGCAGAGTGAGTGATCGCCCAGCGTCTGTGTGTGTGTGTCTCTGTTTGTGTGTCAGAGTTTTGTGACGCCAGTGACGAAGATGAGGACGACGAGGAGTTTGCCAGCCTTGAGACGAGGCGACAGAGGAAGATACAAAAGGAAACACAGTGAGCATCCTTCCACACGCACACACACAGGGCAGGGCAGGGCACACACGCACAGCATATGCGCCACCGGAAACTTGATTCTCTGCACTGCGCTGCGCTGCGCTGTGCTGTGTGTGCACTCCACTCCACCCCATCAGGCGTTGGGAGCTGCCTGTGCGTCCGGCCGACCTGCCGGCTGGTTCGCATCATCGTCACCACGGCAGTTCGCTGCAGCTGCTCTTCATCCGGTATCTCATGAAGGTCTTCTCACAAGACACACTGGTGGCCGACGAAGTCACGGTCAGCGAGCGAGAAGCATACACACATACACACACAAAACACGACAGACAGACAGACAGACAGACCACGTTACTTTGCACCACCTGCCTTTGCTGTGTGTGTGGTTGTTTCAGGCACTGCGTCGCGACTTGCTGTCGCTGGTCAAGGTGAAGGAGTTCTCGCCAGAGGGAGAGTGGAGGCCGCCGTGCAAGTGCGTGATATTGACAATACAGAGAGGGAGGGGAGGATCTGTCTCTGTCTGTCTTTTGCAGGTCGCTGGTGCTGCGGGACATCGAGTGTTCGCACTGCCACCGTGTGTGTGACATGGATCTGACCACTGACGAGTGGGCCTGTCCGGCAGAGGAGTGCCATGCCGACTATGAGCCGGAGTACATCGAGAGCAGGCTCGTGCAGGAAATAGAAGAGCGCGTGCAGCACTTCCAGGTACACACACACACACACAGAGAGAGACAGAGAGAGAGAGAGAGAGATGCACAGGCAGGTTGTTTAGGTGCTCTGTGTGTGTCGTGTGTTGTGGTCTCTCTCTCGCACAGAACCAGGAGGTGTTGTGTCGAAAGTGTCGGCAGGTGCAGCTCCCCCGTCTACCCCGCACATGCCAGTGAGTCGCATGCCTACGCCTCTGCATCCACTTATCCACTGCTGTCAATCTGATGTCTCTCTCTCTCTTGTGTGTGTGTGCGTGTGTGTGCGTGTGTGTGTGTGTGGCAGCTGTGCCGGTGCTTTCGTGGGCCGCATCGACGTGGCAGAAATCCGGTCGGTCAGCAGAGAGGGAAACCATGACAACGAGGGGAGGGGCAGCAAGGGTGTCTGTTGCGGCATGGTGTGTTGCGCTGTCTGTATGTGCAGTGAGTTTCTTGAGTCGGTTCGTTACGTGGCTGAGAACCACCCGTCGCTGGAGGAGGGAGGCTGGCTCGCAGAGACCGTGGGGTTCGCCGACAGTGTACTCTCTCTGTGACACAAATGTGTGACTTGACTGACGTGTCACTTGAACCTTGGGAGTCGAGTCCACCAACAGCCCATGACACGCGCCTGTCTGCACGGCGCGGTGCGGTGTGGGGACCGATGTGCGTGTCGATAGGGTGCTGTGTGTCATGTCATGTCATGTACGTGGCGTGGGTGAGCGGGTGTTCATACTTCGTATATATCACTGACCCACTGGATTTCGCCAGCCTGCTCTGCTGGGCTGGCGATGTGCGTGGTGTCATGTATCGACGTGCCATTCGATTCGTTCGATGGGGAGGCCATTCATTCTCTTGGTTCATTCGACAAATGAGTCAGTCGATAACATCCATCCATCGATCCATCCAGTCGGCCACCCGCGGGAGGGAGGCAGCAGGGGCAAAGCACACCACACCACACCACACCACACCGCGTATTGTATGCATGCATTGCAAGCACTGCACAGCCGCCAGCCAGAAGGGAGAGGCGGTGGGTACTTAGGGACGTACACGGCCGGGCCGCATCACGCTTTCGTGCGTGCGTGCGTGAGGCGTGCTGCGCTGTGCTGTGCGGCCTTGATTCTTTCTCCTTTCTGGTGAGTCAGTCAGCCCCCTCTGCTCGCAGACATGGATGGATGGCCGGTGTATACAGCCATATACAGACACAACGACAGTCGACGGACGCATTCATTCATTCAGAAGAAGAAGAACTCGTTAGTTAGTCAATCGGACAGAGCACACAATGGGAGGGAGAGTCACGCTCGATTGCGACCATCCATCCATCCAGCCATCCAGTCAGCCCCCCACCCAGACAGCCACAAATCTATCCATCTATCTGTCTGTCCATCAGCCAGCCAGCCATATCAGTCCATCCATCCCATCGATACAAAGCCAGTCGGTCCCGATGCAGGGAGGCAGGCAGGCAGGCAGGCAGGTATCCATCCATCGGGGGAGGAGAGTGGGGTTTGTGGGGTTTATATATACAACAGTTAGGCAGGCAGGCAGACAGGCAGACAGACAAACAGTCAGTCAGTCACTTGGGAGGCACGCAGGACTGTTAGTATGTAAGCTGGTATGCAGGCAGCTGAGCTAGGTTAGGTTGGTCGCTACAAATACATAAGGGAGGGAGGGAGGAGGGAGAAGCGAGGGGAAGCGGAGCCGATGGATGATGGACAGACTGGTCTGGTGGCCATCATAACAGATACAGCACCCTCCCTCCCACACACCCACACCCACACCCCCACACACCGTCACCTCGCCCCATCCAATCCACAGCACACGACACCACACACACACCCTCCACACACAGGCACACAGATACACACACACGCGCACACACACACACACATACACACGGCCAAGTAAGTGGAGTGGCCTGGATGCATGGCAGGCCGGCCGGGCGGCACCGACATACGGGAGAGGTAAGAGCACTGATGCAATGCAGCAGCGTATGCAGCATACGATCCATGAGGAAGGTGAGAGGAGCAAGACGGCAGGCAGGCAGACCGACAGACAAATCATCAGACGGAAAAAAGATGAGACGCGTAAATGTGGCCGCACGGCAGCTATGCCACAGCGCAGCTAGGGTGAACCTTGCTGGCTGCTACGCTGCCGCACCTACAGACAGATAAGGCGCTCCATCCATCCATCCAGCCACCCCGCCATGCCCTCCTCCTGTTCCCCTCTCCCCCACCCCCCACACAGTCAGGCAGGCATAGCGACTCACTGAATTCCACCCACCCACCCGTCACACACATCACATCCATCCATCCATCCATTTGTCCGGCTCACGCAAACTGGCTGGGCTCGATCGGTGAAAAAAAAGGCGAGGCGGCCGAGGCAGGCCTGACCCGCTCTCTCTCCATCCCACTTTGCTTTGCAATGCAACCACAGACATGCCTACCATACAGACATACACACACACACACAGGGACGGACAAGCATACACAATCACACGAACGAAAGTAAAAAGCCCACGACGACCTGTGCCGCCTCCGCCTGTGCCACCTCCGCCGTCCCGTATCGTCCATATCGTCAGTCAATCATCCCACCCACACACAGAGAGCAAACATCCAGGAGTGAGTCCGGGCACACAGGCATACAGGCAGATAGATCCACTCGATAGACTCGACAGACTCATACGATCCAGCTATGCTATGCTCTCCACACAGACGCCGCCCATTCACACACACCACACCACACCACACCAGCAGCAGCAGTATCCATCCATCCCATGCACACCAATCGGTCAATCTGGCCACCTTTCAGCCATCCATCCCATCGACAGGCAGACAGGAGATGAGATGAGGGAGGGAGGAGAGAGGGGGTGAGGCATGGCAGGTGGGCCAACGTGGGTGCGTGTGGTGTTTGTGGTGTGGTTTCCGTGTCCTTTGGTGTCTGTCTGTCTGTCTGTCTGTCACTGGTCGACCGAAGGCCGGAAAAATGGTCTGCCTGCCTCTTGAACGCCTCACAGCTGACCCGATCTGACCAAGCCAAGAGCCAACCCACACACACACATGCCCACTGCTGCGCCAACGCAAATTAACGGCCCCAGCCAGCCAGCCAGCCAGCCAGCCAGCGCACCTCTCTGTGGTCAATTCTTCATCTTCCTTCCTCTCTGTGGTGGTCGAATGGTGGATGGCATGACCTTTCAAAAACTGGGTTGTGAGTCAGTCAAGACAATCAGACAGCCGCACAGACGGACGCATGGATGGACATGCACACCCCCCCCCACCCCCACCCCGATTTCCTTCCTCTGCTCTACAGGTAGGTCACATCAAATGCAAGGCACGCACCACCAGACAGCCACGCAGTCAGTCAGTCAGTCAGTCAGTTGAGTTGGGACACACACGACACCACATGACAGGCACACACGAGAGGTGGGTGGCGCACGGACGCAGGCACACATGCACGTCTGCATGGCACGGCAACCACAGCGCAACACACCGACACACCGGGTGTGGTGTGAGTGAATCAATGAGTGAGACAGACAGTGAGACAGACAGACGAGAAACAACCAGCCAGCCAGAGCCCCCCCCCCCCC